ATTATTAAGGGGTTCGATTGGCTGGCTGGCTGGCTGATTGTTCCCTTTTGGCATTTAAAACAAATTGTTGTTCTACGTTAGTTCGATTATTTGCCAGAGGGTTGGCCCCTGACCGGAGCGGACAGGACAGGACAGGACAGGCCGCCGACAGGATAGCAAAACTTTCCCCTGTCTGTCCCTGATAATGATGAGAGTCCAGCGTGCCATCCATCCTCCCCCATGCTGGGATTCTCCTTCTCTGGGAAGGTGTGAGCAGCATGCCTCTTACATATCAATAACGTTTTAGGTAGTGGCTAGTGGTAGTCCTGCGGGATATCCCCTGTGCAGCAGCTGTGTCGACTGCTGATGACCTTTTAATTGAAGTGCCAGAAAGCGAACTTTGAGCTTTTGTTCTGTTGTTTTTTTTTCGATGTTGTTATTGTTGTTGCTGTTGTTGGTTTGTGTTGGGTGGGTAATTCGATCAGGCAAGGAATCATCCATCGGCGAGGAGAGGAGAGTCCGAGTCCTGCTGTTAATAGCCCCAAAAAGGGGCCAGAGTACTCTGTGGAATGTGCCACTACTCCAAGTCCCTCTCCTGTCCTGCTTCCTGCTTCCTCCTTCTCCTTCTCCAGCCATGCACACAAAAATGCAAATAAACGCGAAACCCGCACCCCCACCCCCATCCCCATCCTCCGCTCGACATTCAATAACGCGGCATTCAAAGCCCAAATCAAATTTTACGATGAGCCAAAGCCACGAGAATCCACGGGAATCTCAATAAACAATCTGAAATCTTGGGAAAAGTAACAGATTCCAATCCCTGCTGCTGCTGCTACTCCGGCTCCTGCTCCAGCTCCTTGCCAGCAATTGCCGTTAATTAAACCCTTTGGGTGGAAATGCTCTGGCCAACCATTGGGCAAAGTTTTTCCATTAAAGGAAAGCGGCAGGCGAGTGCCAGGCGACCGCCAATGCCGCTGGCAAAAACGCAAATCAAAAAGTAAAAATTTATGAAGCGTTTAATTGAATTAATTAAAAGCAATAATACCTTGAAATAATTGCGCCTAATAGAAAAACTTTGCCACACAGAGACACACAGATACAGATACAGTTACAGACGAAGATAGCGAAGGAGAAGGAGATGGGGGAAAAGGCAATAGGGCTGGGACTGGGGCTGTGGCTGGGACTGGGTGGGGAGGGAGGCAGTTCTTCGTGTAGCACTTTTGACAGACGCTGCCCGCTCTCAGTGACAACGAGTTATGTGACAAATCCTGCACAGAAGCAGCAGCAGAAGCAGCAGAACCGACACCGACACGAGCCTGGCCATAAGTCAAAATTATCAACATGATGGCCAGGAGCAGGACCACTACTAGTCCTGGCCCCAGCCCCAGCCCTAGCCCACTCCTTTGGGCCATGGCCACTGTGCTGAACGTAGTGCTGGTGCCGGCCAAACGGCAACTGTCACGCACGTAGGCCACGCAACATTGCGAAAAATATGTCTTTGATGTCATAAATCAATTACGAGTGGGATTTACACCACCCGCACACCACCCCGCAGGAAAGTGTCAGGGCAGGATCTGCGCCTTCACAGCAAACAACTTGTTAGACGATGGGTCCTTACTGGATGCTGCGCCAGTGCTGGCCAGACTCTTTTCAAGTTTAAAACGTGACTAAATGAAGTGCCCGAAAAAGTTCGCGACTCGCAAGGAGTAAGCGAAGCAAATGAAGCGCGTCAATTCCGGGGGAAGACTTAAAGAAGACTCCAATCCCAATCCACCTATCCACCGTTCTCTCGTTGCCCCCAGAGAGGCTTTTGTTCTCTAATTATGTCACACACATGGCCCTGGAGGCAATAGCAAAAGCCAAAGCCAAAGCCAAAGCAGGGGGGAAGGAGATTCGTCATCTCTCGCTCACTCGGAGGCCTGTCGAGTGCCAAATGTCAACGTGACATGTGTGTGTGTGTGCGAGTGGGAGTGGGGAGTGGGGAGTGGGTGGATGTTAGTTTATCAAACATAATTAAGAACTTCTACGGCAGAGCGAAGAGAGAGCGAAGAGAATAAACAGAAGTTTAATTATTGTGCAAGTTGCTGGCGGCCCCCGAGGCCAGGGCTCACCTTTTGACTTATGATGTATTGCCACCGTCGTGACATCTGACAGATGACAGCACACCAGCCACCATGCCACCATGCCACCATGCCACCAGCGACAGAGAGAGAGGTGGAATGAAATGGCATGGGAATGGGATTCCTTAAAGCTAAAGGATTTATAGGAAAGAAAGTCTTGAAGAAAGTCTCTCGCCCAGTCACTAATTACTGCCTCAGAGGAGTGGAGTGGAGTGGAGTGGAGGAAACAAGTTCTGCAGTGCATTTGCATAAATCAAACAATTAGTCACGCCCTTCCCTCCATAAAGACCGAAACTATTTCCCAAACTATTGTCCAGCTCTGGTACAAAGATTCCATTCTAATTCTTAATGTCTCCCCGCGGTGCCGTTTGGGCCTCGTCTTACAAGAAGTCGAGAAGGTGTCCGTGTCCGTGTTCCAGTCCACTCCTTTAATTTATGCGACATTTGTTAGTTTGCCTTCTCTTGCTCTCCCGCTCTCTTTCTTTCCTTTTTTCTCTCCATAATAACTTCTAATTCACCTAACCCGCACGACCCTTTCGGGCTGGGGTCTGGCCTCCGCCCACATGGAAAGAAGTCTCTCCCCGAGCCACCAAACAACTCGCCACCACTCAACCACTCGGCACTGGCACCACTACGACGCACTAATTTATGGTTTTGGGCATTGAAATTGATGTACGCCACACAAAAATACAAAATACAAATACAAAATATTTTTTTCTGTTTCAAAATGAAAGCGACGGGCCCAAGGTCCAAGGTGACAATAAATGAACTAAAGAGTTCTGCTAGCCTTTTGGGTGAACCGAAGATGGAATATTCTCGGATGTGAACTGTATATCAGAATAAGATTTAAATAAATATGAAATTATTCCAAAATCAAGCTATGTAAGGTGAACGATCTGGAAAAGTTCTGTATACTTCCAAAGAGTTTCGAACATGAAAAATACTCTCAGGAAGAGTGCAGAAAGATACAAGAATGATATGCAGAAAATAAAATATATTAAAAGAACTCAAAGCGGAAAGAATGTTTATACATTTGCATTTAAAAAAAAGGAATTTGATCAGAAAAAAGATCTAGATCATATTAAGTAGTCTGAGATTCCAATACTCATAGTTGGAGATGTTTCTATAGTCGCAGTTGTATGTATAAATGCATCGTTAGTTCAGATAATGTATGACATTGTTGCTAGACCCAATGAATTATTATTAACAATGAATCAATATTCTAATCGATAAATCTATTAATCTATAAATATAGTACCTGTAATTATTGACTCGGCCACATTTTTATTCATAGACATTAAATAGAATAAACTTGTTCGCTTTTTGCAGCACTCTCGAGAGTCGCAGAGGCCACACCCTCTCCCTGCCAAGTAAGTAATGCATACAAACTGTACCTATAATCTATATTCATTCACAAATCAAATTAAATTAAACACAATTCGAATGATATTCAGTGGATGACTGCCCTGTCCACTGGATGCTAATTGAATCGCTTTTGTAGCCGCTTCGATTAATCCCCAAAAAGTTCAGTAACCTGAGATTCCGCTCCGCTGTCCGATGAGAGGGTATCTGTATCTGCAGCTCGAACTGTATGCGGAACTTGCTGTATAAATTATATAAGCGTATCCCAGCCTCTTTTACAGCTCGGCTCTCTGGAAAGTTCCCTGAACCGCCCCTGGCCCCTCTCCCCAACGACCCCTAATGCAATTTTACAACTTTTTTTGTGCCGAGACTTGTTCTGGAAATGGAAAACTCGTTCTCCATAAAGAGGCGCTGCTGCTGATGCTGCTGCTGCTGCTGCCTAACCGCAGCGTGTAAATTTAGCACTTTATATTAGCAAGAGACTCGGACTGGTAGCGGTTACCGGCCTGGCACCTGGTGTACGTTTTATACTGCCTCTGTGCCTCTCTGACTCTGACTGGTGGCACTGCCTCTTCGTTCTGGCCGCTTTCCCCTGGCTTTGAGCTGTGCTTTGAGTCTTATTTGGTAATCAGAAGCACGATTCCAACGCCAACGATGATCATTATGATGATGATGACGATGCGACGGCCAAGTTCAGTGGCCTCCAAGTGTGTTGAAACTGTATGCCTCTTTTTTGGGGTTTTGGCCGTGTCTCGCCACTCGATTTGCATAGAAACTGGGTCAAGCCCCAAGCGTGGACAGGTAGTGGATCTCGCTCTCGAGAACTCTGGATAGCAGCAGAGGCTTGCGAAATTCTCCCACTTACTTACAGATGAATCTTCCAGCTAAGACCATGCTGTGAGGCAATCTGCAGCGGAATCCGGGAAATGCGACAAGAAAATGCAATTAACAATTAAAGAGCCAGCCACAGCCAGCCAGAAAATACTCGACTCGTACTCGTCTCGTACTCCCCTCGTACTCGTATAATGTCAATCACGTACGAGCCCCGTTGGCCCGTTGTCGGGTGTGGAAACCTGTTGTTGACTCTCCACTTTGAGGAGGGACTGGAGGGACTTCCATTTGGGGCTTTCAATGACTTTGAACTCTTGTCTAGCGGGTGGTGGCGGCAAGGGCAGTGTAAACACATTTAATTATTTGAATACCGAACCGATTGTTTGGTTTGCTTGACCCATTTGTAGGTGCCCCACGGCCTACGGGCCACGGCCCACAGCCCACGCCACTTCCACTTTCATTAGGGTGCCGCAGAGGCTTTGCGACTTTCTTTGTCAAACAATCGACTGATCGATCCCAGACCCTATATGGGGGAGAAGCCTCTCCCCTGCTCTGCTTCTGCCTCCCTCTCTCTCTCTATCTGCTGCTAACCAGTTTGAGGCGCAGTTGGCGACGCTGCCGCTGGCTGCCGCTTCGTTCTCGACTCGCACTCAGACTCAAATGATTCTTGTTTGGCTTTCATAAAAAGTCTTTGGCCAACTTTCTTGAGCTTCATTCGCGCTCCACTCGCGCGATCCGTCAGTTCGTTAGTTGACCCAAAATGAAAGCGGTTCTCTGTGTGCTGCCCCTGCTGGCCGCCCTGGTGGGCTGCCTGCCCGCCGCCGAGAAGGAGGGTCCGTCCTCCAAGGGCTCCTCCTTTGCCGGCAAGACCTCACAGCTGATTGCCATGCAGCTGCTGAAGTTCAGCAAAGACATCGACGCCAATCAGGTGCACTCGCCCCTGGGCGTGGCCTCCATTCTGGGCGTGCTGGCAGAGGCGTCCGAGGGCGAGACCTACGCGGAGTTCACCAAGGTCTTTGGCTATCCCAAGGACCGCGCCGAGCTGCGGGACGTGTACCGGCGAGTGCTGGGACGCTACCAGAACCGCGATGCCGCCGTGGCGCTGCCCTCGTTCCAGACCTGGTTCTACATCTACCGCAACCACAGCGCCCGGGCGGAGTTCAAGGAGCTGCTGCAGCAGCACTACTTCGTCGACGTGAAGGACATCAGCCGGAAGGACTACGACTGGAGCGAGCCGGACACTTCGCTGCAGCTGCAGCTGCAACTGCAGCCAGAGGGCAGCGGATCCGCAGGCGAAGAGGAGAGCGGCAGCACGGAGCAGCCCAGCAACAGCAAGGATGTGATCGGATTCGAGACCCTGAAGCGCATCAACCTGGACGACGATGTGCCCGTGGCCCTGCCCGCCGACACCTACGGCGAGGAGGTGCTGGACAAGGAGGCATCCAAGTTCGACCGTGAGGTGGACGACAAGCAGTATGTGGAAAAACCAGTTGCCCAGGCGGAGGCCGAGCAGCTGCAAAGGGAGCAGCAGGCGGCCACCAGCACAGAGGCGGAAGCGGAGGCCACAACCACAGAAGCAGCAGCAGAAGCAGCAGCAGAGGCTGTGGAAAAACAGGAAAAACCAGCCGCTGCCATTGGTGCAGCTGGGGAAAATCTAGCGGAGAAGCAGCAGAACAAGAGGAGCGACAGCGACCAAGGGGAGAATCAGAATCAGAATGAGAGTCTGAATCTCAATCTGGAGGAGAACGAGACGGTGCAGGAGGAGGAGAAGCTGCGCAAGGTGGTCGGCAATGAGGCGGTGACCTCCGGTGAACCCGAGAAGGTGCGCCTGCCCCTCCAGAAACTGGAAAGTGCCGTCAAGGCGGCGTCCAAAGAGGGCCATGCCGACGAGATAATGCTGGCCCTGGAGTCGCATCTGAGCGCGGTTAGTCGGGTAAGAGAAGGGTGGAGAGAGAGTCCTCTGGTTGGGTTGTGTTATCCAGCAATGATCTTCCAGGTGTACGGCGCCCGCAGTCTGTTCCGGCAGGATGACATCACCTCCGCCCTGAGTGCCAACTCCATCACGGGCCGCGCCGCCGGATCCAAGTCCAAGATGCTCCTGTTCAACGGCCTCTACTACAGGGGCAGCTGGGCCACGCCCTTCCACCAGCTGAGGGACGGCAGCGACGAGTTCTTCTTCATGACCAACGAGGACGCGATGAAGGCGCCGATGATGCACGCCCGCGGACAGTTCCTGGTGGCCGATCTGCCCCAGCTGAAGGCCCGCGTCCTGTCGCTGCCCTACGAGACCGCCCGCTACGCCCTCTGCATCCTGCTGCCCGACGAGACGGAGGGACTCCACGACGTCATCGACCAGCTGCAGCCCAGCGACTTCGAGTTGGCTCGCCAGAGGGCGCAGCTCCGCCAGCTGCACGTCTCCCTGCCCAAGTTCCAGGTGGAGGAGACCTCGCGCTCCGAGTCGATGCTCAAGCAGATGGGCCTGCGGCGCCTCTTCTCCCGCACCGAAGCCCAGCTGGGGCTGCTGTCGGAGGACCCCGACGTCCATGTGGACGAGATTGTCCAGTTCGTGAATGTTCGCGTGGACGAGGGCGGCAGCAGCGCCAACGCCCTCTCCGCGGCCACCCAGGCCCGCTCGCCCCAGGCTGCCGAGGACGCCGCCTCCATCCTGCCGGTGCCCGAGCCGGAGCCAGAGCCGGGCGTGGAGCGGTTCGAGGTGAACCGCCCCTTCGCCTACTTCGTCATGGACTGCGAGGAGCAGTTCGTCCTCGCCTCTGGCAAGGTGTACACGCCAGAGTTCAAGGACGATCTGCCGGGCGTTTCCGTGGAGATCGAGCTGGAACAGTCGTAGGCCACCGCCTGGCATCGATGCTGGCCCGATGCTCCCTAGATCCTAAGTTTCGTAACGAATTTTCACCGATCCACGCGCACATTTCATGCAGCAATAAACCTACAATTCATTTAGCCCAAGAACCCGTTTTCCCAGCCACTTCAGGCCTGCGAGTCCTTCAAGTCCTGCGAGTCCTCAATTCTGTGCAATCAAAACAACAATTAATTCGCTTACTTCTGCTCTCGGGCGGAGAGTTCTACGGGAAGAGCGAGAGCAACCCCCGGGACGCAATTGTCTGTCCGTAATGTGAAATGTATCTGACGGCGGGCATCGCTAATTTCCTTCGTGCTGCAAATTTGTCATTGCATTGGGACGAGGGTTGGGCACAGGACACGGGACACGGGGCCCCATGGTCTTCCATCAATTCTCAGGCTAGTCGAGCGTGAGGCGCATCCGCCACGTGCCCCCTTTTGGGCCGGAACGAAAGCTGACGGAACTTTTCAAGTGGTCAATGGGCTGCAATTAAAATTCTCATTAGAATGCATGATGTCTTACTCAGTCAGTCCGAGGGGCCAGAGGTAGAGTAAGGCAGAGGCCACTGCCACTGCCACGGCCACGGCCACTGCTGTGACTGTGACTTCTCCCCGCGTCTGGCCAGGAAGCACCAGCCCTCGCCCTCGCCCTCGCCCTCGCCTCCACTCACTCCTGAAGGAGGAAAACCACCGAAAACGCACAAGTAAAACACACACAACATTGAGAGGGAAAATGTGTCTGGAGACGAAGATGCGTGGTCGGCGGAGTCAGCAGAGTCTCGTCTGGCGGTGGGGCAGGGCGTCCTGGCGCCGGCCTGGCGGGCGCCAAAAACCAGAGGTAAAAACAGGAGTAAATGCGTGCCATGATTATAGTGATGACGACTTCTTCTTCCAACCACCAAGCAACCCCAAGGAGAAGCAGTCAGGCAGGCAGGCAGGCAGGCAGGCAGGCAGTCAGACGCTGCTGCAGAGCAGAGACCAGAGACCAGAGAGACCAAAGACCAGAGAGCAGAGACCAGAGACGATGATGTTTCATCTTTTCCACATGAAAACTCACGTAACAAAAATTATGATAATCATAACTTTTTTTTTGTCCTATCTCCTGCTGGCTGTTGTGTGCCCATCAGCCCGTCCTCTTGGTGGCGCTTTGTTTTGCTAGCCACTGGACACAGGACACAAAGGAGACGAGGCACAAGGCTGTCCTGTCTCCGGGCAAAAGGTATCCCATCGTCCATGGTCCACAGTCCATGGTCTGGCGTCTAGTTTTTGCTTCTCCCGTGCTGTCTGCTCTATTTTTATTAAGTCTTTACATATAAATCAATGTTGCCCGATATGCAGAAGAGCAGAAGACCAGAAAAAGGTATAAAAGATTTATGGCTCTTCTCTTAACGGGCCAGCAGAGAAGAGGGGAGAGCAGAGCAGAGCTCGTTTAAATATTGTTTAACATAATTTCGTGCAAAAGTTTCGAGTGCTTCGACTGCGAAACTCTTCTCTGCTTCCCACTCGGTTTTCGGCTGTGCGGCTGTGTGGGAGGGGTTGGGCTGGGGGGTGAGCAGATAAATAAATAAACAAAAGTGGCCATAAATCCATCCAATTGCATCAAAGATCTTTTCAACAGAAGACATGGCCCCGAGATGTGGCGAAGATTTATGGCACTGCCACAAGTCTAATTACAAGTGAAGTTTGTCGAATCCGAGCAACCGAAGGGGGGGGCGACGTGCAACAAGTGTGGGAAATCATCAACTGAGAGGCAGAGAGAGAGAGAGAGTGAGAGGAGACTCTACAGCAGCTGTTTTACGCACAGAAAATGCCTGGAAAATCGTGCTCCACATGTGAGCAGCAGCTGGTTGTCAAGCAGATGGATACTTTTAGTAGGAATGTCACCACACCTCCCCTCCCTAGCCCACCCTGCATCCACCACGATCGAGTGGCATAGAAATGAAAAGGGGAAATTGTTTAGCTTTTTATTCTACCGAAAAATCAAACAGAATCGAACAACAATGGAGAGCGGAAAAGTCCGACTAGAATTCGGCGAAGATATCCTCGTGACGCATATTCTTGGCCTTGGCGCGCGGCTTTTCCGAGATCTTGTCAAAGTGCGTTGTGTCCTCGGCGTTGGCCAGGTTGGGCACGTAGGGGGCATGCACCGTCTGGTTGAGCAGCGGTATCCAGTCGACATCCTTGAACCACTCGTGCTCCTTGATGTCCTTGTTGCCGTTGATCAAGTTGCCATATCTACAGGGGATCAGAGAGCAGGGTATATACAGTCAGTCAGTCTTGTGTGTGTGTGTGTGTGTGTGTGTTTGGCCCACCTCTTGGAGAGATCCACTTGCAGCAGATGCTCCACCAGGTGCCGCAGGGAGCCGCTGAAGTAGGAGGGCATCTTGTAGTCGGCCTCGCAGATCTTGTTGTACATCGCCATCACGTCGCGGTTGTGCGAGGAGAAGGGCGAGCTGCCGGCCACAAACTCAAAGATGAGCACCCCGAAGGCCCACCAGTCCACGCTGGTGCCGTACGGCTTCGACTGGATGATCTCCGGCGGCAGATACTCGGGCGTACCGCACAGCGTCATCGTTCGCGTCTCCACCTTCTGCAGGGAGGGCAATCTTCACATTAGAATCATCTGCAATCATTCACAGCAGGGCACGTCTGCGGACAAACCTTCGCAAAGCCAAAGTCCGTCACCTTCAGATACCCGTTCTTGTCGATCATTATGTTCTCGGGCTTGAGGTCCCTGTAGAGCAGGCTGCAGTGGTGCAGGTACTCCAGGGCGAGGAAGACCTGTGCCGCATAGAAGCGGGCCTGCTTCTCGGTGAACTTGCGCACCCTGCAAACAAGAAGAAGAACGATACAGGATACAGGATACAGGATACTCTCGTGGCGAGAGTACAGGCGGACTGGACTCACTTGCGGTGGTAGGAGAAGAGCTCGCCGCCCGCTATCAGCGGCAGGATGAGGTACAAGCTGTCGTTGTCCTTGAACGAGGAGATGAGAAAGACCGTGTTGGGGAAGTGTATGGAGCGCAGGACGTTCTTCTCGCTCATCACGTGCGTCACCTGCTTGGTCTTGACAATTTGGTCCTTGCTGAGCTGCTTGGAGGCATAGTACTGGCCGGACTCCTTCTCCCGCACCAGCTGCACCTTGCCGAACGAGCCCGCCCCCAGCGTGGACTTGATGTCGAAGGTGTCGAGGCCGGTGCTGGGCGACGGTATGTTCTGCGAGTACTTCTTGTTGAAGTCCTCCCGCAGCTTGTCCAGGATCAGCAGGTAGTCCGTCTTGGGGCTGAAGTGCATCGGCGTGTCGTTCGGGGAGGGGCCCATCTTTCAGAATTTAGAATTTCGAATTTCGAATTTAGAATTTCGAATTTGGAATTTCGAAAAGGCAAAAAGAACGACGAATCGACTCCGGATCGGAACTGATTTATATTCGAAAAAAAAATGGGAAAAACGAATCTCAAACATGATAAAATTTGACAACAAAAGGAACATCCACAACGGATCCTAGAAATCCATGAACAGCTCGGGATGGCGATTGATCCGGGACTTGAGCTTGGCCTTGGCCTCGAAGTGATCGAAGTGCGAGAGATCCTCGATGCTGGAGACGGTGGGCACATAGGGCGGCGGCACCTCCTGGTTGAGCACCGCGAACCAGTCGACGCCCTGGAACCACGGATGGGTCTTGATGTCCGCCGCACCCTCCGTTGAGTTTCCTAAACTGAAACAACATCCAATCCATCAGCTGTCGCAGGAGGTACGTGAACGTGGCCACGAGTGGCACGCGTAGTGGGTGTGGCACTTACCGCTTGGACGTGTCCACCTGCATCAGCCCCTCGACCATGTTCTTGAGGTGGGCCGTAAAGTAATTGGGTATCCGATACTCCCCCAGGCAGATCTTCGAGTACATCAGGATGACGTCGCGATTGTGGGCGGCAAAGGGGGAGCGGCCGGAGACAAACTCAAAGAGCAGAATACCAAAGGCCCACCAGTCGACGCATTTGTTGTACGGCTTCAGCTGTATGATCTCTGGGGCAAGGTACTCGGGCGTGCCACACAGCGTGGTGGTGCGTCCCTCCACGCGCTGCAAGCAGAGACATTAAGGGGGGGGTGGAACGCAGCCAGGATTTGTACCGGTATTCGTACCTTCGTGAAGCCAAAGTCTGTGAGCTTGATGTATCCCTTGACGTCCAGCAGGATGTTCTCGGGCTTGAGGTCGCGGTACATGAGATTCATGCGGTGCATGTACTCGAGGGCCAGCACCACCTGCGAGGCGTAGAAGCGGCTCTGCTTCTCGTTGAATTTCCGCACTCTTGGCCAGCGTTAGATTGGGGGGGGGGGGATTTGGGTGGGGTGTGATAAGAGACTCAAAACTCGTTTCAAGTGGTCGAACGGGCGGGCAGTCGGGGGGCAGTACTCACTTGCGGTGGTAGGAGAAGAGCTCGCCGCCGTTGACGAAGGGCAGGACGAGGTAAAGGTAGTCAAAGTCCTTGGACGAGTCGATCAGGTGGACGAGGAAGGGAAAGCGGGCGGCACTCAGCACCGTCTTCTCGTTGTGGACGTGATTGACCTGCTTGAGGCGCACCAGATCCTCCTTGCTCATCATCTTGGCCGCATAGTAGTTCTTGCCCGTCTTCTCTCTGACCAGCAGCTGTGGATGGGGCCAGAAGGAGGAATAAACTCAGTTGTGGGAATCAGGAAGGAATCAGGAAGGAATGAGGAATGAGGAATCGCACCACAGTGCCAAAGCTGCCGTTCCCGAGAACCGCTCGCTGCACATAGTTCTCGAGATTGGTGTACGGGGACTGCGTTTGCTTGTTCCAGCGCTCATTGAAGTCCCGGCTCATGCTGTCGAGGATGGTGTTGTAGTCTTCCTTGTTGTTGAAGTGGAACTGTGAATGCAGCTGCTGGCTCATAGTCCGCACGCGGACCAATCGTGCATCTTAGCCAGATAGCCAGATAGCCAGCCGAGGCGTGGGGAGGGATATGCAGGGATCCGATTTCGAGTGGACAACAAACGAGAATGATGCAACCAACTGTATGATGCGACTGTATGAAGAAAAGAAGAGGCAGAGTAGCAGCTCGACAAATTGAGAATTTGGAATTTCATTACTTTTCTGGTTGAGTGACAACTAAGTCAAAGCCACAGCCAAACCGAGTTGGCTCTGATCTGTACCCTCCCTCTCCCCATCCCTCTGCCTCTGCCACTCCCAAGAAGTTTCAATTAGCCTCCTCCAAGTGGAGACCTCAAGGTATGACAAATTTACCTCACTCTCTGCAGCTCTGCTGCCCTGCGAGGGGAGTGAGTGGAGAGCAAGGCTGAGAAATGGTCATTTCCTGTGAGTCCTGGAACTGAGTTCACAAACAGCAGCAGCAGCATGTGTGTGTGTGTGTGTGTGTGTGTGGTGTGCCCCATTGCCGACTTCTTGGCTTGGTCCTGGTGCTGCTTCTGCTGCAAAAGTAAGAAAAATTGCAAAACGTCCACTTGATAAATGATGCTAACCAAGATTACATAAGTTGGTAATTTTCTAGTACATTTATTTCTACATGTCAGCCAGGCAGCCAGTCGGAGGACTCAGGACTCACGACTCAGGCAGGGGCCCAACCGCATCCAGCCTGAATGCCTGCCTCATGTTGGCTGTTGATGGACATGTGAGTGAGTGTGTGGATAGACATACGAATACGAATAGTTGTAGGCTTATCCCCCCCCATTTCGCCTCTCCCGTACGGAAGCGGATGCTCCGTTTGTTGTTGGCTGCTTGCTGCCTGCTGCCTTTTAAGGTAAACTGTCGACCGAGCCGTTTATTGGCCATTTCTCCGGTCTGTGTTGTCCCACCTAAATTGACAATTAATCATTATCTCTGGCCAGAGTAGTATTGCCAGGGCAGGGCAGGGCAGGGCAGGGCAGGGAAGGACAGTCCCATCCCATCCATTCCATTCCATTCCTCCATGTGAAAATGGCTTTCTAAATATGTTGCGGCCTCTGCGGTGGGCGGTGGGCGGTGGGGCCTAATGCCCAGGCATTTATTCTCGAGAACTCTTCATTATTGATTGCTGTCAAAGGGATGCCCTCACCCTCACCCCTTTTGTGGGGGGGGGGCTATTGCTATGCAATTCACTTTCATCCCGAAATTGAAATGCCGAAGGAGCGCCCCTTCAGTGGCTCTAAGTAGGCCACAAGTTATCCGCTTCTAAGACTCGGATCTCTGAGATTTTAATTCGCTTAAAATAATACAAATCGTCACGTACTTAGCATGAGACATGTGTCTGCCTGTCTGCCTGTCTGCCTGCTTTCACTTGCACTGCGTGCAAAAACTAAACAATTTCACTTAGTCCCCAGGCCAAATTTCAATCTTCAATCCCCAATCCCAATCCCTGTCCAGATCTTGGCTCATTTAACTCGCAGGCTCCGCAGCTGCCTCCAAGATAAACTCCAGAGTTGGCTAAGATATGTTAACGACTGCAATAAATAAGCGGATAATATCTGAGAGAGAGGTCTGCCCCCTCCTCCCCACCCTGCAACTACTTGGTTCCATAAATACACATATCCTCCGCCTCCTCCGCCCCATCTGCCAGATGTGTGGGAGTTCGGGACTCGCGCTTCCCGCTAAGCGGGCCAAGAGCAGATTAAGTCGTACGCACACGTTTCTGGGCCGTTTCTTTTGGCCACACTTAAAATTCATTTGTTGTCTCTCCATCCTCAGAAGTTATGCAAAGTAATTGACGCCTCGATGAACTGTTGACACACATGGCATTTGTCTTTCGCTTCAGCTTCAGCTTGGGCTTCAGCTTGGGCTTGGGCTTGGGTCTGGCTAATATTTGGCTTAGTTATCAGAGGCCATTTTTTGGGGGCTTAAGTAGGTGAATGTCCCTGTGTCCCTCTGTGTGCGAATAAACGAAGGAATGGCCAAATTCAATTATGCTGAAAGGTTTCTATCCACCCAGCTACCCAACCACCCTTCCATCTGCTCCTGCTGCAGGACAGCTGTAGTGCTGTAGTGCTGTAGTCCTGTAGCCTGTGGGCTGTTTTCTGTGGGCTATCCGCTGCCATTAGCGCTAATCTCTGCACAATCGGGAATAAATCATGGCACGAGTATGGCCCTCGGTTCAGTGTATGCCCCGGAAAATGCATTCCATTCACAGTTCAGCGGGCAGCAACAATGTCTCCCCGTGTCCGCCTGCCTCAGCAACGACAGCAGCCAACAGCCCAACATCCTTTGCAATACACGTACACGCATGTGTGTGTGTGTGTGTGTGTGTCTTGTGTGTGTCTGTGCAAAAGGTGTAACTAATCCGCATGCCATGTGACTTTTGTCATGCGCCGATGTCACTCATTCACCCGACACCCGATACCACGATGCCCAATGCCCGAGAACCCTTTTGCCAAATGCCAAAGGTTTTCCACTCAATTCCACCCCAAAAGCAAAAGCATTTCGGCTTTCCACCTTCAATCAACGATTGCGTTCGTTCGTTTGTTCGTTCGTTCGTTGGTTATTGTTGTTCATTGCGGAATTGTGGAATTGTGTGCCGCTTGTAATCCGTTGATTTGGCTCTGGACTCCTGCAGGAAGCTCTGCGGGTGGGCCTGACATTTTGCAGTCGACTGCCTTCATCGATGGATGGTGGATGGCTGAGGTGTAATCATAATTTCCCCTGCTCCCGGCTCCAAATGGAGCACCTTTTCCATGGCCATACAATAAATCATCAGAGAGAACTATTGACACAGCCAACGGTGGCTGGGGGTTGTTGGCCATAAATCAGCGGGGGGAATCCTGGACATCAGGTTCTAAACAAATTGCTCCATTGCCCCGCCACCCCCTGTATGCAGTGCACTCTCCTCTATTTTCCATCTATTCCATACGTAAAATGCTTTGGCAAATAATGCAACAATGGCGGAGGGGGGGCGAGGGGATGCGAATAAAACAATTGTTGGAATTATAACAACATTTTTCCATTTGCCATAAATAAACAGAAAGAGAAACAGAAACAAAAACAAAAACAGAAACAAAAACAGGAGCAGGTTCCGTTGGTTCCGCTGGTTCCATCCGCTGGTTTTGGGACACATTTCCTATGCACAGAATAATTTTGCCCAGTATACGGAAAATACTCTGAAACATTTTATTGAAATTCAATTAAAGTCGTATTTCAATAATTGGTCACGCATGGTGCCCGCTTCCTAAATGCCGCTTCGATCTACAATTTATGAGTTTTCAGTGGATGCTTTTTTCCATTTTCTATTTACCATCTACCATTTACCATTTGCCATTTCCAATTTCGGTGGCAATTGAAATCCGCTGCCACTTGGACATAGTGAGTCCTTTGTCCTTTGTCCTGGCTGCTGGCCGGAAATTGTTGCAAAATTTGGTCGTTCCCATTTCCAGATACTCTCCTTTCCGGCCACCCATACCCATGGCTCCCTCCCGTGCTGCATTAGGCTGCAAGTTCTTATCAGTTCAATGTTGTTGGGGTCGGGGGCAGTGGCAGTGGCAGTGGCAGGGGTCACCCTTCGATTCACCCCTAAAGCGAGTGAGTGCCGTGGCGCAGGCTCACGTTAAGTGTGCAACATTTTTGCGTGATTTGTGCGAATTTCGCTCGCGTTGAGGCTGATAAAAGTTGTCTTCGCCGGGAGGGTTGCCTGCCAAGGGGGTGGCTTCCGTTGCTCCGCTACATAGTTTTGCTCCTGTTGTGGCTGTTTAGAGCCATAAATTCTTTTTTACTTGTCATATCTCTGGCTCTGGCTCTCTTCATTTAGGCACAGATCATTAAGTTCTCCCCCGACCCATCGCCTGCCTATTCCCATATCCGATTCGAGGAGAAGAGAGAGAAGAGAGCAGAACATGTGTCCCACTACTCCGCGTACTCCTCTGGATGGGATGGGATGGGATTGCAGTCCCACTGCTCTCTGTAATTTGTATTTATCAAAATGTCAATTGCTCGGCAGCCTGTCACGGCTCTTTAGCTGCCACTTGGCAGGAGCATCCTCTAATTAACGAGGCGTTGATGCCGCATTTCGGCGGAATTATTTAGCAACAAAATCAATTTGATTCGGAGCAGGCGGAGTCGGTGGGGCGGAGTGGAGGAGTCTTGCTCAATTTACTTTTCGACTAGAACCAAATGAGATCTATCAAAGCATCAGCGAAAACTGTCAACAAACATCAGGCCCAGCAAAAAAAAAACACTGACTGGGAAGATCTCTAGAATACGAGAGTTTATATGGGGATGGGAAATTAACAGGAGAATTAACTCAAGAGAAGATGATAGAAAATGAGGGTAAATTTCATTAAATATAAAATCAATGAATGTTGCAAGACGAACAGCAGTAAGGATCGCTAATAAAACTCAAAACTTAGTTTATTTCTTGAACTTTAGCTTGAATATATAGGTTTATTTATGGATACATTTATTACCCTGTAGAATAACCTCTAGAAGCCCAAAACACGTGACGCTTAGATCAGATCAGTTATCTTTTGGCACAGTTTTTTTTGTGGGCAATTAAATTTGTCACTTGGGTGAATTCCAGCCTCTCCAGCCACCACCAAGTCAATTATCACGAAACCCCAGCACGCATGAACGTCATTAGAAAAGGCATGGAATGCCAGAAGGAGAGACGAAGAGAGAGGCAGGGAGGTGGAACAAGCTGCAAATGCAACGCAAATAATCAACCTGAGGCACGATCAAAGCGACACTGACAGCGACATCTCCTCCTGGGTCTCTGGCTGGTATTCCTCGGACTGCGGGCACTGCAGGGACTGAATCTTTATGATCCCCTTAGATCTCTGCTGCTGTCTGTTGGCTGCTGGCTGCTGGCTGCCAGGGCACTATTTCTACACGGGAAACATTTTATTTTGACAGGCATGCGATTTGCACGCTTAATTGAGACAGGTGCACCCTGGGGGCGGGGGCAGTGCCAGTGACTGTCCCTGTCCCTGTGGAGTGGGGGTGGGGGGTGTTCGCCACGGGAAGTGCGGCCAAGCTGCGACACATGTTCCCCAATGGTGTCGCACAAACGCGAAGATTTATCATCGTGCCACATGCCGCATGTCGCTCTCCTGCTCCTGCTCCTGCTCGCCCCTCCACACGTGTGCTGCCGCTGCTGCGCTTTTCACGGGAAAAGCCAGCGACGCACGCCAAATGCAAAATTAACAACCTAATTAATAGTTGGCCAAGACGTAAAGGGACGAGATCTCGCATAGGGCTGGGGCTGGGTCTCGGTCTCTGGGCCCTCATTCCACCCACTCACTGACTCGCGTCTCCAACCACAGCGTCGCCATCACCAGGGGGGCAGCTAATGCTGCTGCGATCGTTTTTAGACTCTTTTTGGGTGCTGTGCATGTGGGCGTTGCTCCACCCTCTTAGTGGTTTCTGCTCCCCGAAAGAGTATCTAAATCTATTGCCACCTATATACGACAACTTCCAACCGAACGAAGGATCCGCGCGGGTAGCTGGCTGGCCTTCCTTTTTGGTTTTTTAATTGAAGAGCTCCCTCCGTCCACTGTCTTTGGTGCTTCGCAAATATATTGGGAGCGCCGGGAACCGCAAACTAGGAGTAACTAACGGCCAGCGGGCGGCCGCTGTCAAAGTCAGCTGTTCCTTTCGAGCGCTCCTAAAAATGTGCAAAATTCCAAATTGACTGCCAGACTCTGCCCTTCCACCGAGTGGCTCCTCCATTGAAGGCGCTTGCGGTTGACGCTCTTCAGCGCTGGCCGGACGTTTATTGAACATTTTTACTTGCGGTTCCGTCCGGACTTTGGACCTTGGACACTCACCCAACTGCTGTTTGCTGGCAGCTTGCAGGACCGAGGCTCAAGCGCACTTTTATTAATTTTTGTGAGAGAGAGAGAGAGAGCGCGTCTCAATTTCACGGACCGCCTTAAATGCAAATAGCTGCAAATGGGATTTGCAGAGCAGCGAAGGATATAGAGGGTGGGGTGGGGGGTCTCGAATGAAATTGGCCAAAAAAATGCGTTAAATGCAAATTGGATAAGATGGCTCTTGTGTCGCGTAGGACACGAGAGCAGTGGCAGTGGCAGTGGCAGTAGCAGCGGCTGCGGCTGCCAAAAGCGAAACGGAAGATATCCTGGCGGATATCCTTGACTGAAGACGAGACTGAGGCTGTGTCTGATTCGGAGGCTGAAACCGAAGCGACGAAAACTTTAAAGTGGATTACGTTCGTAGATGTCCTCCTCCTCCTGCTGCTGCTCCTGCTCCTGCACCACATCATGGTGCTATCTCCTGACTGCCTGCCTGCCTTCCTGCCTGCCTGCCTGCCTGCATGCCTGTCCGCCTGCCTCGTGCTCATGTCCTTCGCGTGCGTTTCGCAAACATAAATCCGTGAGTTTTTGCGAGCAAAATTTATGGCGCTCGCGACACTCTCAAAAGTTTTGGCGGCATTGTTGTATTTATGACCGCGACATGACCTGCTCACATAAATGGCCAAGTGGCCTGCCAGTGGGAGCCGAAAGTGTTGCCTGCCCTGCCCTGCCCTGCCCCGTCCTGCCTGCATGGCGGTACGTGAGCCGCAATCCTCCATTCCATCCTCTGCCAAGTGCTGCGCGGAAATTGGATTTGCTGGTTCTGGGTGCTGGCTGCTGGAAGAGAGAGCTCTAAGCGAGTTAAGCGTCGAGCATCTTAAATCTGCACGCCTGTCAATTTATTTTTGATCGAAATTTATGTCCGCTCCCCTAATGAGCTGCTGCTGCTGCTGCAGGGAAGAGCCAAAGAAAAGGCAACGCAACCCAGGAACATGGGCGCAAGGAACAACGAAAACAGGAGCCTTCTCTGGCACTTTGCCCCAATTCCAATTGAAGTTAATTACGTGGAACATTCACAGTTCCAAATGACGATTTACATTCGAAGTGTAGCCACCCCCTCTGGGCCAAGAAATGGCGTCCAAATCGAAGCACAAGTCCAAGCCCAAGCCCAAGCCAAATCAATTCAACCGGATGCATAGCGCTCGCTGGCCAGGATGTCGATTGTTGTCCGGCAGGACAGGCGGGCCTGTCAGCGCCGTTTCTGCTTATGATTGCAGAATCCACCCATTCTATTTTCCATATCCATATACCACATATACATACTGCATATATATATCCACTCCTCGAATGTGTGTTTGCCGAATGTCTCTAGGCTGAATGGTCAACGTTCCCGGAGCAGAACGTAGCCATAATTATTGTTATGTTAATGGGGAAAACGGACGAAGGCGGACTTGGGCCTGCTGCCTGCTGGTTGCTGGCTGCCTGATTTCGGGGTTGATTGGGTATCGGCCATAAAGCCATCATCCACATCGACTTGGACATCGCCAAATGTTGTTTGTCCATCGGTTTCCACGTCATCTTCTCTTCTCTTCTGTGTGTTTGTGTGTGTTTGCCCTGCGACTTTGCATAAAAATGGACGAGCAATGGTACCGGAGAAGTCGGGGGGGAAATGCTGCGTGGAGTGGGTGTCCGGGATTAGCTTTTGGCTGGGAACTTGGGCAGTAGTCTCTGATTGAATTACGAACTACATTGAACAGCGCCACTAAGTAGTACTCGCCCAATTCAGAATATTTCCCATGTATCCTTATTTTGGGGTAGAAAAAAAATGTTGGAATGAGCAAAAATCCTGTGCCAGGACCGAACTTTAATATATTTCATATTTAATAGTCCCACAGCTTTCTCTTATGCCCTTTAAAATATTCCAAAAATTTCTCTAATTTTGTATGCTGAAAACAAAGGCCAAAACCAAACCCAAAGCCCAGGCCTTGAAAGGCTTATTGAAACTCCACTGGGGCGCCCGAAAGTATGCAGCCATTAAGGACACTCAACCTCAGGACTCTCAGGGGCACTCAATGCAAAGAAAAGGGGCGTGGCAGTCGCACTCCTTTTTTTTAGAACGATTCGCCACAGCTTTTTTCGTGGACAAGGGGGCGGATGGGGCGGGTACAATCTGCATCTGATGCGAGAGTAGAGGCGTCAGCGTCAGCTTCAGCGGATGGCATCCCCGATAGGTGTGACACATCGTGGGTGATTGATGAAATGTTTGGCCATAAACCCAAAACCGAAAAGAGGAGGAACGAAAGGGAACACTCCGCGCCACTGCTGTGGGACGGGGGTCCCACCGCCAACTAATTTCCACATTTTTCACATTTACGAAGACAAATTGAGGTGCGAACTCGGGTCGAGGCAATAAAACTGCCGAATATCAAAACAACAAAATCTTTGCAACAGTAGCCCATAAAAAAAAGAGAGAGTTGTAGACAGGGAAAGGGGAAGCGGAACGGGGAAGGGGGAAGGGAAACGAAGGGTTGTGCAGAGTCTGACAGAATGCTACAGAGTTCTGAGAGTCCTGAGAGTCCTGAGAGTGGCAGGCATGCGAAATTCCCGAATGCCAATTGTTTCTCGATTCGCAGAAATCCGTGTAAAGAATAAAAACAGGCAAGTCGTGGGGGGAACTGGAATGGGGATGGTGGTGGGGGTGTGGGCTTGGGGTCACGCTATTTGGGCCCACTATAAAAGTCAATATCTACAACAATAAATTGCGAATCTCAGTTACCAGCGACAGAGTTTCAGGGCGGTGGGGGGCGGTGGGTACGGTACTCGTGGCGAATCGAGTTTTCCTTTTCTGATTTTCTCTGATTTAGTTTTCCATTTCATTTCGTTTCGTTTTATGCGAGCATCTCTCGCCGAAAGTTGTCAACGAACGGCCGGCCATAAAGGGAACTTTTCAATAAAACCCAACACCAGCCGCAGACTTTCCCTTTCCCCCCCATTTCCTTCCTCATTTCCATTAGCATAATGTCTGCTTTTGCTTCTGGGTCTGGCCTGATCCCTGGGTGCGTTCCTGGTCCGATAGATCTGATTTCCCGAACTCACTTTCGATTTGCCACAATTTTATTTTTATTTATTTGCCAGCGAATCGAAATTACATTTTAAAAACTTTCTCTTTGCTCTGCTTTGCCCTGTTCGCCGCTCGCCGCTCGTTTGCTTTTTGTTTTATTTGTACAACAGATTTTTATGGCTAATGTATGCGCATCGAAAATTGATTCGATCTGAAGACCCAATGGGCTGGGCTGGGGGTGTGGGTGGAGGAACTACGACCTTGGCTGGCTGCCTTCCCGCGAATCGCGAATCATGAATCGTGAATCGCTAATTGTTAATCAAGTGCCTCCAGCCCCAAGGCCATGTCAACGGAGCGACCTTGGGCCATGTGCGAAAAGAATGGAGATGCAAATGGGGCTGTGGGATCCATTATTCCCTCGAATGTGGTTCAAGGGCGGTCCAAGGCAGTCCATAAAAAGAAGGAAGTGCTGCCACCAGCAGAAGCAGCAGCAGCAGCTGGAAAGAGTCGCAGATTTGGAAACTCTTGGCCCAAAAATAGACTCCGGCAACATCTGTTTCTCGTATCGAAAATTGAAATGCAAAATGGGAAATGGGAAATGGATGATGGACTGATGGAGAGATGGTGGGTAATGGCGAGATGCTCATGCTAATCCGTGCCCTTCAGCTTTCTGTACATGGCCCGGACAGCGCACTGATCCAGGGGATCCAGGGCTCCAGTGCTCACATGGTAGACGAAGGCCAGCATGACGAAGGGCAGTCGCTGGCAGCAGTCGAGGGCGTACCACCTGGCACGCGTCTCGGCACGCACCCGTTTGGGGCAGGCCCGCGGGTGCATTTGCCTGAAGCGCCTCACGAAGCTCTGCTGGAAGTTGGAGTAGGCGGTGGCCCGCAGCCTCTCTCCGTTGAGCCCCCTGCAGTAGTAGGGCAGCTTCTCTCTGGGCATGAGGCTCAGCCAGGGCTTCCCTTCCTTACGGCCCCTACATAGCTCCATCTCGTACAGCCTATTGGCGCGAATTTCACTCCTGATCATCGCCTGTAGACTGCGCGGCTGGGCCTTCTCCTCCTCACAGCTCTCCTCCTTCTTCGGGCAGCATTCCCGCTTTACTTCGCCGCAGCTTTCCCTCTTTTCTGCACAGCATTCCATTTCCTTTTCTCCACAGCATTCTTTCTGCTTGTCTCCACAGCCTTCGTTCTTAATTTCAATGCACTTTTCCGAACTCTTCTTCTCGGCACAGGATCCCGCCTTTTGGGGACACTTTTGACTACTTCTTTTCTTGCGGCACGACTTTGCCTTCGCCTGGCCCTTACTCTCCTTTTTCGCTGCACAACTTTTCCTCTTCTTCCTCTCCAGCCTTCTTCTCTTCCTCTGTTGCCGCACCTCCTCGGCAACCTGCTCGAACACCAGAGTCAGGTAGCTCTCGGTCAGATCCGAGATGCGGATGAGACGCTGCTCGCAGCGAGCCTGCCCGTCGTAGGTCACCAGCTGCTCCGGATACTTATTGCGGATCGTATAGCTGTGGTACGCCAGCAGGGGGTATGTCTTCTTGGGGGGGTGGCAGAGCTGGCTCGGCTGCTCGCAGGACTTTTTCTCCTCCCCTTTGCAGGTCTTCAGGGGACAGGGATTAATCGATCTCTTGGCGCATAAACTTTTATTTTTAGTGGATCGGCAGCATCTTGTCAAAATTGGCAAAATACAGTCCGTTAGCTCTGCCATTAAACGTTGCCCAGCAAACAAATGCAAACAGAAAACAGAAAAAAAAAAATACTTTAATTTAAGTCTCTCCTTTTTTTTTTTTGTGTGGTTTGTGTATGTTGTGTGGAAATGTGTCTCCTATTTGTGCCCCTGTGTCTGATTGTCATTCCAAAGGAATCCTGCTCCAGCCAGTGCCCCCCCCATGGCCTGCTTTCCAGCACAATTTAGTGTTCATGAAAATATATGGCCCCCGCATTATAAATGCGAAAAATACTCTCTACCATTATCCAATAAAAGTCGTGGGGGGAGGGGCAGGGGCAGGGGCAGGAGAACAAAGAATATGACAGCAAATTTCGCAATATTAAAAATGCTGCTGTTGCTGCAAAAAATAAGAAAAAATAAAATAATTGTTAGCGATATTGCACGACTAACCGATACCCGATACGAGGGATATATCGCAGAAGTATTCCCTTTGAAATATGTTGAAGAAACGATTTCGATCAGTCAATTGCGATGACTGGGATAATATAATACCTTTCCGATATTATTCAGGGAGAGTAGAGAGCATCTGTTCGATGGGTCTCGGCTTCGAATAGGCTCCCAGATATAGAAGGCTCTTGCAGCTGATCAGGAATATATTCCCTTCCTGTAGCATACATTTCCACATGCACAACCCGGACTCCACTCGACTGGCCAGGGTAGCCACGACAATGGAACATTAGAATGGAATCGAAATATATAAAAAAAAAAAACGATAGCGGAAAGGGAAAACATTTGGATTTTCACATTTATTCTCCACTCTCTCTCTCTCTCTCTCTCTCTGTCTCTGTGTATTGCCGTCGCCGTCGTTTATTTATTTATTGTGCGTGTATGTGTGTTGTGTTCTCTGCTTATTATCCATATTTATCCGTGGGGTGGGGAGGGGGCCACGAACATATTCATATTCATTCTTCCGATTAAGCAGTTTTCATGGTCATCGCGAAACGTTTTCGCGCACTCGCCCCCTGCCCTGCCCAGCCTCTTTCCGCTGTCACTGCCCCTGATTCTGATGCGGAATCATGGTCGAGATAAAATAAAATAAGTGGCCTAAATAAAAGCCAACGGAGGAGAGAGAGAAGGAGAATATGAGAAATCTTTTGGGTTGCCAGAATCGCTGCAATTATTGAAATTAATTTCATTTATTACATCATGAAAATGCGAGTAATTCCCGGGTCCAGCCAACGACCAAAATATTTTCGCCACACGCTTCTCGTATGTGTCCTGTGTGTCGTCCTGTCGCCCGGCAATTATGGACCCAACCGAGCATTGACTTCTCCCAACAGCCCCCCACCGCCCCAGCGATACGCTCTCCTCTGTGTAATTTGAAGTTAATAACGTTGAAATAAAATCCCCATTCGATTTGTATCGCACTCCACTCCCCCAATTGTCCGCAAGTGACCAAAAACATGACCATGGCGGACTGGACTACCTATAAAGTCTGCTATTAATTGCTTTGAATACGTATTCGTATTCGCATTCGTTTTAGTTGTTCGTTCCGTATGTTGTCATAATTTTTGGCAAATGAATAGACGAAAATTCGGATTAATAATGTTTTCCGTATGAATACGAAATACGCGTATGTGATTAATTCTGCAGGGGGTTTGCATTCCCGATGCCCTGAAGAACGGAAGGAGATTCCTTCTCTTTTCTCTTTTTATTTAGCTTTTACAATACCATGGGTGTGGTGTTGGCCTTCCCGCACCCATTCCAACCGCTTTCTGGCAGTTCTCCCACTTGGAAAACCCTCAGTCATGTATCATATCTAGTTCCCGGATTCCCCAAACAGGCAGACCTGACTCCCATTCTTTTTCGCCGTTTACGATGCCATAGGTGTTCGCACGGAACTCGTCATTCGAGTGCCGTGTAGCCGGCTAATGGCGGTGCGTCGGCCACAGCTCCCAGAACAATAAAATTCCCATTTAGAAGTCGCGTACTCCAACACCCCACAGACACCCCACCGCCCCTCCTCCAACCCAACCAACCCAAAGAAAAAGTGTGGCCGCAGCAGTTTTTCCCTGTTTACGTGAAAACAATTTTTATGGCATGTCAAAAACCTATTTTAATGCTTTTAATGAAAGCGAATTTTATTGCATTACTTTTCGATTTTAGTGCCCCGTACCGCCCGTATCGCCCACGCACCCTGGCAACCCTAGAAATCCGCTACTGCTTTCAGGCCACCATCGACAGGGGGCGCCACCACGCACAGGCCACACGATGCGAGGCGTAAAAATGCACTCAACTCAAAATGTTGACAAGATCGTAAAAAGTTTCGACAGCAGCAGAACAGAATGGTGCCAGAGGTGGAGGTGGAGGTGGAGGCGGAAAAACAAAAACAGGTGACAAAGCACAAAACAGAACAGGAAAAACTGGGAAAAATGGTGAAAAGTAAACGGCAAAAACTTGCGCTCATAACAAAAGCCACTCAAACTGCCAATTGCGGTGGCTCCTGCTGTGCGGGCTTGCTGTTCAGTTCATGCAACCATTTTCTGCGAAAATTGTGCAGATTTCCGCTGGAGAACTTTTGCATAAATTCCATTGCAATGCTGTCGACAAAGGGACGCTACTCTCCCCTCTGGGGGCTGCTGCTGCTGCTACCTTTGCCAAATTCATTTGACCAGAAACTTAAGTTATATTTTGGAGCAGTTCCAAAAGAAGAAGAGGAAGAAGAGGAAGAGTCTGGCGATGGCGAGGGGAGATGGGCGAGAGACATGTTTAGTGGCACGGCAGCGACAAAAGCTTTCAGCCATAAAGGAGCTAGGGACGGGACAGACGACGCACACGTCGCATGTCGGAGCACTCAATGTCAGTGCAGTGCAGTGCAGAGCCTGGAGATGTTGGAAAATTCAGTGGCAGTTCCAGTCCGAGGACTCGGCGAAACAATGGCCCTGTCCCTCTGTCCCTACATCCCTCCATGCCCTTGCAACTACAGTGCAATCCATACTCGCATTGCATGCATTAAATATCTCATATGGGCTAAATGGATTCGGGGTCGGAGGGTATCCACAGTATTGACAGGGTCAGTCATGCATTGTTGGCCGGCCAAAAACTGTCGAGCTGTCAGCAGCAGCAGCAGCAGCAGCAGCAGCGGGATAGGGAACTTTTCGACTGCCAGAAGGAGCAGAAGAGATGGGTGGATGGGGGGGGAGGAACCTTTAAAACAAAAGAAAAAGACTCTGCACAGTTTTCGGGGTGACTGCAAAATCGAAGCCAGATCTATGGCCAGCCCGCTCTTTCCCCCCTTCTCTCACTCTCTCTCTCTCTCTGTCTCTCTGTGTGACGAATCTTATTCCCTTCTCGAAAGTGTCATTAGGCCATAAAAAGGAATGGCAATGGCAATGGCAGTGGCAGCCGCAGATTCGTTTCATTAGGACATAAAAAAAGAGCATAGACAAAATGCAAATTAGAGAGAGAGCGAAAGCGATACGAGGTAATGTTCTACACCCCCCCATTCACCCACTCTTCTGGGGCAGGCGGAGAGACCCTTGACATCAGAGGTCCTTCGTCCCCAGCATCGCATATAATTACACTTATTTGTGCAGCTAATTAATTGCTAATCAATCATAGGACCAAAGAAACAGCGCTCAGACCCACAATAAAAAAGGACAGCGCCGTTGTTTGCCTGTCAGCCAGCCAGCCAGCCAGCCAGCCAGCCACTCCGCTCCGTCCGAAGGATGTCTCAATCCCGGGTACTACTTTTCTAAGGCATCTCCCAGCCCCAGACCCCCAGCCAGAGCTGTCGTCCGAGCATTTGGGTGCCTTTTTGGTCCATAAACAAAGAGCCAGCGAAAACAAAAGCTTAGCAAGATTGATCACAGCGACAGCGGCGGCCATATCCTTCGAGCCTTCTAGCCCTCGTTGAGCGCTGCACCTGTTTGCTTACTCACGGTTATTAGCCGGGACACGCGGGATCCGCTCTGGGGCATGCAAATGGCCAGCAGACAGCCATCCGCCGACTGAAGGAGAAGAAGTGTCAACGATGTCCTGCTTTTTTGCACCTTGAATCCAGTGAGCAAGTGAATCCTTCCGCCTGTTCCTCCGCTCCTCGTCCGCACTTCCCCACTTGTCGCTGTCACTCCGCTGTCACTCAGGGCTGACGTCAGCCTTTGCCACTCCCGCTCCCGCTCCTGATTTTTCGCTTTCCTTTTTGCCCTTGCCTTTCCCTTGTCTTGTCTCCTTTTTCTTTCTGTCTTTTTTTTTGGCGCACATTTTATTTTACATAATTTGAACATTTAAGACGTGCCTGGGCATAGACAAGAGGCTTTAGTTTTAGTTTATGCAGGACTGTCCGACCAGCCCAGTCCTGGGCGGCGTAGTTTTGCCTCTCATTTTATTATTAAAAGGCATTCGCATCCTTTACGCCCCAATGGGTTTTATGGAGGAGAGGCACTACACATCGTACCACTCCCCACTGCCAATCCGGAGTATGTCTTCATTTTGCGGGGACTCCAGATTCCAAACTACGAGCTACGAACTACGGATTGTAGATTCCGGGTTTAGTGTTCGCCATTCACATTTGTACTTGTCAAAACTTGCACGTTTGCCGTTTGCTGTTTACTGTTTTACTACGTTTGCTCTGTGGCTCTCTGGCCTGCAGAAATTTTACAGTTAACCCAAATTGTCGGCAATTTGGCCAAGATGTCCCTCCCAGCTCCCAGCTCCCCCCCCCCACTCATTTCCTCATTTGATGATCCTTTCGATTCAATTGTTTAGCGGCAGCAGGAGGCGTCGTAAGTGATAGTAAAGAGCATTCATAATGATTCTGATGGCTCCACATGGCTGGCAGGAGTGTGAGGATGGGAGCAGCGCAAGCAGCAGAAGGGGGAGGAGGAGGATTAGAGATTGTAACCCTAATGTCTGACCCAGCCAGCACAGGTCCAGAGGTGAGTCCTCGATTGTCACAACTTGTCGCAGTGCAACCCCAGGCCGCTGCACCACGGCTGATTCGCTCTGCTTTCATTGTCCTTTGTGATTGGTAATTCGATACAGTTGTTCGATTGTCGGGATGTGTGCGCATTGTTCGCGAATCTCTCGGAATCATTTGAAGCGCATCGCCGATTGAGG